CTCAGTAATCACACACAAGCCCTCACAAACACACACTACAACATAGTCTTACACACTGGTCCAATATATTCAAAACAACACTTCCAAAACTGGTAAGTTATGTTCGATCTAAATTTTCCAGATATAAATGCATTGCCCATTTTCAATGGGAAAGTGCCCAAGCAACAATCGCTCGACAAGATTGCCCAGCAACATTGCTCAAAAGGTTGCCCTGTGTATCATCACCTGTGTTTCAACTTGGGTAGGCCTAAATGTGTGTTACAGTTTTTTCGATTGCTAAACGACAGTGAGCACAACTGGAGCTACATGTGCAAAACTCTAACTACAGTCTGCACAGCAGCAGTTCATGTGGACCAAACTCTAGTTCGTTTTTCATTGCTTGAACACAGTTTTCAAAACTCTACACACTTATCCCATGACTTTAACCACAACCTGCACAACACTGTGGATTTACAGCACTTTGTTCAAATGCTAACACACTGCTGTCAAAACTGTGAACCACACTTTCAAAACAGAATATATTTCAGCCTTGTACCTTTCAAACACTGTTGATTGCAGTCTCACCTGAAAGGCTAAGCAGGGGTCTTGTTTTAGACTTGTTAGTGAACACACACATATATATATATATATATATATATATATAGATATAGATATAGATATAGATATATATATATAGGTAGAGCTCAGAAAGACCAATTTTGGAAATGGAACAAGGAAGACGTGTTCGTGAAGGGAGAAGGGTGGCAGGGAGATAAGAGGACAAAGAAGACAAAGAGCTGTTATTTCAGATGAAATAAGGGCTACACTTATAGACCATGTCGTGAACCACGGTCTCTCTTTGAGAGAGGCAGGGTTGAGGGTGCAACCCAATCTGCAAAGATCCACAGTGGCATCTGTAATGCGAATTTTCCATCATACAAACAGGTGAGAGTTACATCCTTACAGTATGTACAGTATGCCAGATGTGAGGACACGAGTCCAGAGGACTGCCAGGGATGGATAAGGCGCTCCAGAAGGTTCTTCCACAGGTGCATGGCAAGAGAGAACATTAGATGTGATGTTGATGAACACCTGTGGCCTGATGCTAGAGAGAGGCAGGATTAGCCCCTCAATTATTTGTTCGAATTACTTTAGTTTCTACCTTTTTTTTCCTCATTACTGTAATTCCGTAAATTACTACAGACTATTGAAGCAAACTGCTACAGTAATTTTCATTTACCTTACATAAAGAATTGTTATGTTCTAAAACTGTAAATAAATCATGTGAAAGAATGTCACTCTTTTCTTTGAAGAAAATGTTACTTTGTATGAAGTCACTGAAATTGTTCAAACTGTAAAGATGAAAAGTTTGTATTTTCTGTATTGGTGTTTGATGCTAGTGTTTTTACTCGCATTGGCCCTCATTTATCATTCTTGCGTAGAAACGGGCGTATATGTTGGCGTAAGATTATGCTTACACTCCTCTCACCGCCTGATTTATGAAGCTGTGCGTACCTTTGAAATCCAGGTGTACGCAATGCCTGCCCTTGATAAATCCCGCGGCTGAAAACGATCGTCATTAGAATAACACGCCCCTATATATTCAAGTCTCCGCTTCCCCCACGCCCTCATTTTACGCCATGGACACACGGAAGACGGCAAAGAAGAGAAACTTCTCTGACGTGGAGCCCGAAATGACCTATCACAATGCAATATTTTACAGCACGTCTTTTGAATTAGCATTCAATTTCGAATCACGTTACATGTATGGGGTGTACAATAGTGATGATGATGATGTGATGTGGAGTACCATTCATTCACATTAATAATTGCATGACAATTTGTAATATTATTCTTAGTATTATTAGTATGCTTTGTATTATTAATGACGCTTATTGTTATTTAGAAGAAGAATGTCATTATTATTATTTGTATTATTATTATTATTTAAAAGAAGAAGAATGTTTTTTTTATTATTTTGTCAGTCTGAATTATTTTTTGGTCATTGAAAGCCTTTCGTTACCGAACCCAGTCCGTGCGCACCTGCCGGGCCTAACCATGAAACGTCAGGGTAAAGCGCACAGGCTCGCAACTGAAGGAATACATATGCTCATAAATCAAATGCTTTGGTAAAGTCACACAAATTAAACATTGAAGTCCATGTTGCACAAAAATAAACACTGAAGTTTATAATTACTGTTGTTGTTGTTGTTGTTGGTCATATATCAATATATCATATCTTTTAGTTATGTCAGTTTGAGCAGTTGATCAGGTCAGTGCGTTTTGTGGTGTTAGGAATTGTTTTTCTGCGCATTTCCGCACTAACTCAAAACGTGCGTACACCACCTCCTGAGCTGGCGTAGGATTTGAGCGTGCCGTACGCCAACGTTCATATTGATAAATCTCAAAGTCACCGTGGTTTTGGGTGTACGCCAGGTGTACGCTGGAAATTTGGTGTACGCACTTTTGATAAATGAGGGCCAGTGTGTTCTGAGTGCCAGTGTGTGTTATCTCAGTGAGGGTTGTGTGTAGTGTTTGGCTGCACTGAGCCTGTTTTGAGCGATGCGTTAAGAGTTGTGTTGCTTGGAGTGAGTTTTGCAGGTGATGTGTACTGTTTAGCTCAGGTGACTTGGTAGTGCTGACTGTAGTTAGAGTTTTGCACATGTAGCTCCAGTTGTGCTCACTGTCGTTTAGCAATCGAAAAAAACTGTTACTGAGCTGAAGCTGTGCTGATTCGAGTGAACAATATTGAGTGCTAGTGCTTTCTAAATGACAACATGGTGTAGGCAATGAGAAATGAAGGGATTTGGGTGTAGAGTTTTGCAGTGACAGTTCAACAAATCTGACAACAAAACAGGCGAATAGTGTTTGTAGTTTAGGGAAATGGGTGTGCTTTTTAATAAATGGGGTTATGGTTTTGAAATCTTAGTTCAAATGCTTGGTTATAGTGTTTAAGCAATCAATAAAAACTGTAATGAAGTTAATTCCGTGAGGGAGCATTCGATTAATCTAAAGTGACAGTAACACCTTTTACATTGTTCAAGATTGATAATAATAAGAAATGTTTCTTGAGCAGCAAATCCGCATATTTCTGAAGGATCATGTGACACTGAAGACTGGAGAAATGATGCTGAAAATTCAGCTCTGCATCACAGGAATAAATTGCATTGTAGCCTTGGTGAGCTTCTTCCAAATACATTAAAAAGGCTTCCCAACCCAAAACTTTTGAACACATAAGTTTAAAAATGTATATGTATTAATTAACTTCATATTAGTACCTTAGTTTGTCTATGACATTTGATTTCCTGATACTTTTTATGTCAACCTTTTAGGTTGTACACAGATTGAAGACAACATAAATGTAATTAAAAAAAAAAAATGTCACTTGGGAATAAGTTTTTGCATTACATTTCACATTGTGGCCTCTGTGTGTGTGTGTCCTGGTAAACATTATGGGGACAAAATATCCCCACATAGATAGCAATATAAGAAATCCTTGTCCTTGCGGGGACATTTTTTGTTCCCATGAGGAAAACAGCTTATAAATCATACCAAGTTATGTTTTTTGAAAATGTAAAAATGCAGAAAGTTTTCTGTGCTGGGTAGGGTAAGTGTAAGGGCACATAATACACAGTTTGGAATGGATGTATATCATTCCATGATTCACTCTCTCAGTATCAGTCTTCTACTCCTGTTTAATTCTCACATTTGTCTGTAATGCCAAAAAGTTTCAGGACAAAATTTGTAATTATTTTAACACAATGTTCTTGATTCAGCTTTTGTCTGCTTTTCTGTTGCTTCTGCCGAACTAATTTTGAGCAGCTATTAAGCAGGAAAACATATCGCCCTTCAAATGATGGATGGTGTGGCAAAGAGAATGGTGCTACAGAGAAATATGTTCCTCATTTCTCCTCATTTCACACAGTTACTGTTTTGACACAGCCCGCCGGTCACTGTTGTCTTCTATTAAATGTTGAATTCATAATAAAAACATTGGAAAAATTCAGACCAGTCCTTTCCTCGTATAATTGTCATCGTATACCTAAAGTGCACCCTTGAAATGTTTTTGTTGTCCCTTAGGGTATCTTTTTGCACTTTTCTTTGTTGCAAAATATCACTGACTGAAATGAAAGCAATTTTATAACTGTGCCATTCAATCTTTTTCAGAGTAAAGATGAGCGCCAAAAGAAACACAACTTTCAGGGACAATTGCTCACTTCAGAATTCTCGAACATGTCAGTTTGTTCTCATAACTGCACAATGTTGTTGGTATAGATTTTTCTTTAAAAATGTAACAGTTTCTATTGAAACAACACTGCAGTGTGGACATCACCGTCAAAATTTGGGTACAAACATTGAAGGATCTTTGGAAAGATCTAAAAAGATATGCTCTGTTGTACTGGATTAAACAAAGAGCAAGGCGTTGAACCCTTGAAAATGTGTTTTGGTTTGGTAAATTATTAGCAATAAGCCTTTTTCATCATCTTGTTTTTTTCATCTATTTCTCACAATCAATCAGATTTTTCCAACTTCTGCAATGAAGTGCACTAAACCTTCTACCGAAAGTAATTTTAGTCATTAAAGTCGACAAAAAATGGAATTTATGATTTTTTTTATTCCCTATTGTGATGTACATTTTTTTGAAAAAAAAAAATAAATAAATAGGGCGGGAATTGATTGGATGGTTTGATAGTTGTGGTTTGCTATTGGTCGATCTCATGTGAGTGTCAGGTTGTCCCGCCCTCACGCCAGTAAACACTTATTAGAGAAGAGATGTCGCTGCTAGAGGGAGGAGATGATATTTTGATTAAAGATTATATGAGAGACATTAATTAAATTTTTTTATTTTTTTTGGTGCCTGAATAAATAATTTATAATAAACACTGCAAACAAGTCATGCTGACTTTAAAATGCCGCCGTTTTTATTGGGTACATTTCTGAATTTAATTGTTTATAGTTGTATTTATAATAATTGATCATTGTGTTTTTGTAAAGAATCACTCAGATATTCTTTTCGGCAGGGTATGATGTTCCTGGAGGAGAGGCGGCTGGTGCACAGAGACCTCGCGGCTCGTAACGTCCTGGTCAAATCTCCAAACCACATCAAGATCACTGATTTTGGACTTGCTCGACTGCTTGATGCTGATGAAAAGGAGTATAATTCAGATGGAGGCAAGGTCAGTGTTTAGAACCTGAGACACACTGGTTCTGACAGTTGTGAACAGTTCCATTGAACTAATTTTTATATGATTTTGTCATTTATATATGGTGAGTTTGACAAAAAACTTCATTAATCAATGAGAATGGTAGTTGCTTGATTGTATTTCTAATTTCTAATCATATTGCAGTGCTGTTTCTGTCCAAATTGGACAGTTTTTTTTTCTTTTTTCTTTTTTTTAAATGCATGCTTTTAATTAATCATGATTGCATTACTGTATATTTCCAGATTATTACATCCTGATTAGAATTTTCTCTTATGCAGATGCCCATCAAGTGGATGGCTTTAGAGTGCATACATTACAGGAAGTTCACACACCAGAGCGATGTATGGAGTTATGGTGAGTTAAACACTTACATTGTCCTAGTTTGCATTCTTGCATTATTTTTGAATAAATTACTGTAATAATTTCATTCAGCAAAGATGCATTAAAAAGATCAAAAATGACAGTAAAGACATGTTTAATGTTACAAGATTTCTATTTCAAATACATGCTGTATGTATATATATATATACTGTATATATACTGTACACCAGTGTTGGGGAAAGTTACTTTGAAAAGTAATGCGTTACAATATTGCGTTACTCCCTTAAAAAGTAACTTATTGCGTTACTTAGTTACTTTTTACGAAAAGTAATGTGTTACGTTACTTTTGCGTTACTTTTTTTTTTACCTGGGCTGGGCTAGTTTTTTTATAGCAAAAAATATATATATTTTGGGCAAATGTAAAGACCCTTTCACACCAAAAGGGAAATTATAAGCCTCAGACTGAAGGAAATGCAGATTTACTCCTGTACAGTAGAGTACAGTAGTGTTCAGTAGAGGGCGCCGCTCAAACAAACCTTTCAGCTGCTGCTGTTCTGGGTAACAGAAGAAGAGGATGCAAGAGAAACAAATTTAACACTTACTTTACCAATAAAAACATATAAAAAAATCTATAGTCATTTTTGCTGATGGTTTAACTGAAAAATCGGAGGTCAGAAGCAAGTACTTTGGTCAATATTTTTTATTTTTATTTATCCTTTATTTTACCAGGATAGTCCCATTGAGATTGATAACAATCTCTTCTTCCAGGGAGTCCTGGCCAAAATGGCAGCACAAAAAGTTTCATGTATACAATACAAACATAAAATACAAAAATCATACATAAAATGTAACCCAGCACTCATAAAATGGCAACAAAAGTTACTTTACAAAACATGCACACGATTAAAGATTAAATGCATAAAAATTTATGTTTTTATTCAACATATTTAGGTATTGGAGGTTTGCGTAGTGTTCTGATTCTGCATTTCACTGATTTTATTCATTTTGAGGAATATTGAATCTTTTTTGTGCAAGTGAGATGAGTAAATCCACGCTTACATTTAATCTAGAACTATAAGAACCATCATGTTTACACACAACCCCTCTGCACTTCGATTTGTCTCAACATTAGGACAGAAGAGCTGTCAGTCAATAAAGGGGAAAACAAAGTAACTTGCGTTACTTATTAGAAAAAGTAACTCAGATATTTTGTTGTAAATTTTAAAAGTAATGCGTTACTTTACTAGTTACTTGAAAAAGTAATCTGATTACGTAACTCAAGTTACTTGTAATGAGTTACCCCCAACACTGCTGTACACACACTATCTCTATACAAAATGTGATGTATTGACTTATATATTGTCATTCAGGGGTGACTATCTGGGAGCTGATGACGTTCGGAGGAAAGCCCTATGATGGGATTTCCACACGTGAGATTCCAGATATCCTGGAGAAGGGCGAGCGTTTGCCCCAGCCGCCCATCTGCACCATAGACGTCTACATGGTGATGGTGAAATGTGAGTGTTGTGTAGAACCCTGAATATGATCAGCAGCTCATATCTTTCAGAAACGCACTAGCACACATACAATTAAGTTCAGTGATGGTATTATGTCTTGAAATGATTGCCCCTAGTTTTTGATAGGGTAATCATTACATGATTTTTCCACATCGCGTTTGTATACTAATATGACATTTTATTTAGAACATGCACACACACCCACTCACCATGGTCGGCCAGACAGTCGTGCGGACTGTGGAAATGAGCAGCTGGGTGAGCGGTGGGGTTTCTCAGCTGGCTCAATCAAATAAACACAAAGAGATGAAATGAGACGCGGATTGAACCCATTAATTCTAATTACATTTTGACTGTAAGCTGTTGTTTGTGATTCTACGTGCTGTGACATCTGTAACCCCACGGACAATGAAATGCGAAATATTGATGGAGATGAAACGTGGTGTGATTGCGTGAGTAATTGCTGCTCATTTGGTTAATGTGTTTGAGCGTGAGAAGTGAAAGGAAATTAATTGGGAGGAAATAAGGAGCAGGCTGCTGCAAGGTGAGGGCATGTTACTTCCTGACAGAGACATAATAGAACTGTAAGAAGTTCAGCAATTTGGAGACTATTTCTAACTCAATGTGAATCTATCTGTCTGTCTGTCGGTCATCTATCTGACTGTCTCTACATTTGAATTTTTTTTTTGTTTTAGAAAAAATATTTGTATCCATATATTTATTTATGCATGCTTTGTTTGGATTGTCTGTGTCTTTTTATGCATTTATTTATTTATTTATTGCAGTGTCCATAAAACATGTGTATTTGTCAAATGTATTTACTACTGCCGTTTTTTCTGTGTTGACCTCCAGGCTGGATGATTGATGCTGATAGTCGGCCTCGGTTTAAGGAACTCGCTGCAGAGTTCAGCCGCATGGCACGAGACCCTCAGAGATACCTCGTCATACAGGTGAGAATACGGTTATTTTTGTATTACATCTCACCTTGAAAATCAATACTTTTGTCCTATACACCACCCGTTAAACTCAAGGTGATCGCAGAGAGTGATGGTGTCATTTCTCCTCTCAGGGGGACGATCGCATGAAGCTGCCCAGCCCCAACCACAGTAAGTTCTTCCAGAGTCTTCTAGATGAGGAGGAGCTGGATGACCTGATGGACGCTGAGGAGTACTTGGTTCCTCAGACCTTCAATATCTCTACCTCTTCTTACACGTCAAGACCACCGATGGATACCAGTAGGGTAAGAACAGCTCTTTGCTTTCTTTTTCCAGTTCTTTTCATGAACTGATCAAATGTGAACATTGAATGAAGTGTAAGTCACTTCAGATAAATGCATAGATCTGCCAAATGGATATGGATAATGCAAAAGTTGAGTCTTTGAATATGTTTACTTTCTCGTATTCCATTTAAATGTGCACAAAGTTTGGAATAATTAAGATGTTTTTTTGAAAGAAGTATCTTACGCCTGTGTTTATTAAAGTGCAGTACAATAATTATTGGTGCTCAAGTATGAACAATTCAACATTTTCGTTGAAATCGTGATACGTTTTTTTCAGGATTCTTAAATGAACAAAAAGTTTGAAAGAACAGCATTCATTTTTAAATATAAATCTTTTGTAATATTATAAATGTCTTTATTGTCACTTTTGATCAATGTAATGTGTCATTGACTCCTTGCTATATAAAGTGTACTTTTTCCTTTTCTTTTTTAAAATTGTACTTACCTCAAACCTTTGAATGGTAGAGTATCACTATTCCCAAATTAATGTATTTTCAATGTTGATAATGAGAAATGTTTTTTGAGCATCAAATTAAGGATGGCTGCTGAATATTCAGGAATAAAGTATAAAAAATAAATAGAAAACAGTTATTTTAATTTGTAAAAATATTTCACTATATTACTTATTTTTCATAAAATACGTGTAGCCTTGGTGACCATTATAGACTTCTTTCAGAAACATAAGAAAATCATAATTATTCCAATCTTTTGACTGGTAGTATAAGGAAAACTACTGTATAATTTCAACATTTATAGGTTAACTTCCCAAAACGTACACACTGAGGCTCTATAGCATTTCAGCTCTGTTAGACCTGTTTGTTGACCAAGACTATGTTAACAGCGGTTTAGAAAAAGGAATGAAAGTTTGACCAAATAATGGCAGAGAAATACAAATCATAGATATTTTTTTAAACATGATACCCATCTATCCATAACTTTTTTTTATTCATCTCAATGGAAGTGGTTTAGCTGAACATCTTTGCTAATGGGAACGCAGTTGTGCAGATGGAAAACATAAAGTGGAGCTGTAGAGGAATGATTACTGAGAAAAACCTTTTGGCTTTCATTCCGCTCATTTACTCTCATGCTTACTAAGCCAAACGTTGACCCCTTATTTTGAAAGTAATTGCTACTTTTACAATTCTGTTTGTCGCTGAAATAATGGAACTTCCCATCATCCCATTGATTATTTTCAGTGTTCCCATAGATCAAAACCACTAGCATTTGGATGACATGAGAGGGACATCTTTCCACAAGCACTAACCTGTCTTCTCTTCTTTTAGTATTTTATTTTCTAGCAGTGACACCACTTACAATTTTCAACAGCCTTTTTTTCTCTGTAATTGAGCAGTATTATTATTAAACAACTAAATGATTGCATGAGGAAGCACGAGAATGATCTTTCTTTATTTTTGTACCCTCATATAGACACAACTGAGGTGTCGTGACAAAGTTTTTAGCCCAGAAGACGGCATGGGAGCTTGTTCCCATGACCCTTCTGGTTCAGCGAGTGCCGTCTTCATCCCTTTAAGCACACAATGTGCGGGTCTCGATGTGCTTGAGGAACAACACTGTAATGGGAGCTTGAAGAAACAGCCCATGTCTGGCTCAGGAGACGACTGCGACAGCCAGCGCTACAGTGCAGACCCAACTGTCTTTTTTGGAGAGAGGGGCCCAAAGACCACTAATGAAGATGGTTACATGAGCCCTATGAACAAGTCAGCCTCAGGTAAAAGCACAAATATTTCATGTCTTTGAGGAGTTGCATTCAAAATCCACTTGGATCAAAAATATGAGGGCGGCATGTACAGGATGCTTCTGGGTATACATGGATTAGTTTGGTGTAAATCCCCTCTGAAAGTCTTTTATTACACATTCTCTAGTCAATAATATCCCAGTCGTTCCATTTCAACCTAAGATAGTTTAAAATAAAAGGGTGTCTGGAGTAAAACATTAATCCAGTGTGGTGGGTTGAGTAGGATGATAAATCAATAGATTCTGAGTTCCTCCATTAAAAATCTTGGCAGCAGTTTAATGGTCTCATCCTTCACCTCAAACCGAAGAGTGCCAATGAATTGTGGGTGGTTAACTGGTTGGCCACTCACTTTTTTTTTTTTTTTTTATTGATTTTATCCTAGTATCAGTAGTTAAACTACAGCCAGGAGGCTATATGTTACTAACACAAAGCAACTAATTATAGCTGAAGCTGTTTAAGAGGACAGAACTACAGTTCAAGATTTTGGGGTCAGTAAGATTTGTTTAATGTTTTTGAAAGAAGTCTCGTATGCTCACCAGGGCTGCAATTATTTGAGCAAAGACAGTGATATTGTGAAATATTATTGCAATTTAAAATATTTTTTTTCTATTTCAATATATTTTAAAGTATAATTTATTGCTGTGAGGCAAAGTTGAATTTTCAGCATCATTACTCCAGTCTTCAGTGTCACATGATCCTTATAAATCATTCTAACATGATCAATTGGTGCTCAAGAAACATTTATTATTATTATCAATGGTAAAACAGTGAAGTTCCTTAATATTTTTTTTCTAATTTGGAAATTTTGACATTAAATACAGCTAACAAAGCTAAAAACAAGCTTTAGTTTAATTGAAATGCATTGTCTGAGACGTCAGTTCAGTAATGTTACTCTAGAGACTGCAGATTAGAAATGTACAATGCAATATGACAAAAACACCAGTGAATACAATCAATGATTAGCTTGCTGCCATGCTACACTGCTGTTGGAGTACACCAGCTTTTTACTGGTAAAGCTAAAAACAGCTCCCGAAACCTGTAGCTAAGTAGGTAGTATCACTACTTTTGGTGACCGTATTTTCATAATTTTTCAATAAAGTTATATGTTCTGTTTAAGCCTTTATTCTGAAGATGTTCACATGCTCCACAACTGTATGAATATTCCTGTGCATGTGTGATCATGTTTTTTTCAGAATAAACTAAAACTGATGTTCTCTTCTGGAAACACTAGAGACGCTCACTCATTGATTATGCTGCATTTTTATTATGCGAACAGTAATTTAATCAGCTCATTAATTCTCATTCATTTTCTCAACAATAACACACAAGAGCGCAATGAACTGTAAAATGTAGGTCTTGAGACTCGTACAAATGTAGGCCACGATGTTCCTTTTAACATTTGTAAAATGTTTTGAGTCTGCTCTTTTCTCCAAAAACGTTCTGTATATAATATCACTCAGAATTGTGTTTGTTTGTACATGCACTGTGTTACATGTGTATCAAGTTACTCAATTACAGGTGATTTATGTTGAATTAGGTGTTTTCCATGACCCAAGATACGGATTAATACAAACATACAGTATATCTTATTTAGATTTCCGGAAGCTGGAAAATTGGCTTAATCTGGTTAATTTGTTTACATGACTCCCTAAAATTAAGTATAAATTAATCTTGCATATTTCTGAATAATATTGGAATGTGCTTGTGCATGTAAACTGTATGACTGGTGTATATCAGTGTTATTAACTAAAACTATTAAAAATAGTTTTCATTAATTGCAATACAGCTGAAATAAACAACAATTACAAACTTAAACATAAAAAATAACTGTTGCCGTGGCAAATAACTCAAATAAGTTAAAGTGCTAAAATTATTGAAATACTAAATTATACTATTCTAAATTATATTATACTAAAAATTAAGCTAAATATGAACAATAACGGAAACAAAAATAACAAGCACATAACACAATTACTAATAAAATAAATTAAAACTGGAAGTATAAAAAATAAGCAAATTCAAAATATGAATAAATAATATAATAGTATATGAATAATACAAAAACAAGGTTGCAGTATGTGTACTTACCATATACTTACAGTGTACTTACCCACAAAATAACTATAATATAAGGTAATATAAGCTAACTACATGGGCAGTGATGTGCCTGAACGCGTTCAATGAACGATAGTTCATGAACTCGTTCATATTTTGGGCGAACGTGAACTGAACGTACTGAATTAGGCCTACTGCCTGATGAACGTTACTGTGAACGCGTTCATTCTGGTGTCTGTGAACGCACGCTCTCTCAGTTTAACTTCGTTCAATAGGGTGCCAGATTTCTAAAGAGCCTTCCAGGCGAAAACCCGGCTAAAACACACGTAAACAGGCCTTAATATGTAGCGAAAAAAACACTCAATCTCAATAGCTGTCGCACCGCGGCCGCCGCATGCGTCATCATAACAAAAAGCAGCATGTAGTCGACAAAGTTGCGAGCGAGGAGGCGTCGTATTATCATTTAAACGAGTTTTATGACAAGGTCGGTGAGGATGGGAAAAATCTTACATTTCTGTGCAAACTTTTCACGTCGATAAAATAATTGCTGTCTGTGGCTGTGGCAATAATAAAAAATAAAAAAAAGCTTGCAGCATCATGGAAAAAAAGAACTATGACCTAGTTCATTTGTTGAAGTATGACCTATGACCTGAACTAGTTCATTTTAAAATGTGTGAACTGAACTTTGAACTATTTCATGTAGAAAATGAACTTTCCCAACACTGTACATGGGTTAAGTAAAGGTTTAGGGGTAGGTTCGGTGTTAGTTAGTGTCATTACAATAAGAACATAGTATGTTCATGCGAAACATGACTGTAAAAATAACACTGGTGTATACTATTGTAAATTTAGAGTATACTACTTTGGTAACTATTTGTGGCAAATGGCAATGATTCTTTATTCGGGATGCAGCTTTTATCAGGCTTTTTACATTGTATTTTTATTTTTATTTTTTTTGTATCTACAGACCATCTTAGTCCTGTCGAGGAGAATCCTTTTGTAAATCAACGGAAAAATGGAAATATTACTGCACTGGACAACCCGGGTTACCACAGCACCCCTGATAGGAAATCCAAGGGTGAGGATGAGTATATCAACGAACCCCTTTACCTCAACACATACAACAACACTAGTGGCATGAACCAGGAGATCATGAGAAAAACTGGATCTTCCATCCCACTACAGATGACTACAGCAACCAACACCGCAAGCAGCCACGTTATCCTCTCCACACAAACTGGGAAAGCCCACCACCATGGCCAGGGAACACATGTTCATTTCGCCGTTCCACCTGTTCAGCCCCCCCAAACGACATCAATGAGCCAAAATGGCCAGCATTCCCAGTCACCACACGGTGTCGAATCCAATTCCTCCAGCATGTCTGGCAATCCTTCCTTATTAACCCAAATCTCCATCGTCAGCCAACAGATCCAACCTTGTCTGGCAAGTCAGTCCATCCATTCTACCCATTCGGCTCAAGTGGTGAAATCTGCAGTCACAAGTAAAAGTGTATCCGGCCTTCCCGGCCACCTTGTCTACCCAGGTAACATGCTTCAAACGGGTCATACCGGGACTATAATGGTCGACAGGAAGTCGAAGAAGAATTTTGATAATCCTGACTACTGGCAGCATAGTCTACCGCCCAAGGTGACCCAACAAAACCCTCAAGACCCAACGCAAGTGTGCAAAGGCAAACACCTCTATAGGCATAGCATCCGAAGTCGCATCGCTGTGGCCGACAACCCTGAGTATCTTTCTGAGTTTAACAAGAGACCAGTTCTGCCACCTCCACCGTACCGACACAGGAATACAGTAGTGTAACGCCACAGTCGTTATGGAGAACCAGATTCTTCTACCAGCACCATACGTTCAATTGGAATTTATTGAAGTACAGGAAAACTCCTACCATCAGTGTTTCTGTCAGAAGAATTCAGGAAGGAGACTTATTGGACTTTCAAAGGAAAACCGACCAACCAAAGTGCCTCTAAACTATTCCAAAAGCTATTCCATCTTTTCCATTCAAACAAATCAGAATGTATCGAGATGGATATCCCTTAAAGGGATAGTTCACCAAAGATAAAAAATTGTCACCATTTACTCACCCTCGTGTCACTCCAAACCCAAAGACATCTTTGAAAACACCTGAGAGATTTCTGTCCTTCCATTGAAAGTCCATTGCACTAAAATAAAAATACTCCAATAAACCCACAATAATGTCTGCAGTCAGCAGTTGTGTTTTGCACATCAACACTCGAGCAAAAATACTATTTAAGCAAAATAGTTTATTTTATTTTTTTATTTTTCTATGGGAATTATTTGATTTTAGCTAAACTGAACAAAACCATGATTATTTTTATGAACAGAATGCATTACACAGTCATTTCACTTCTTTCAGTGTACACCAAAATTTCATAAAGAGTGAATAAAAAGTTAATAAAGACATTCCATTTATATGATGCGATCTATGTATGTGCATGGATCATTGTTTATAGGTGAATGAAATATTAAATTAAATCATTACATAAAGTGATCGTGTCTCTTTAGGAGACTGGATTCAACTGCTCGATTGAAGCATCAAAGATTTGGTGCAATGGACTTTCAAATGGAGGGATATTAGTCTCTCAGGTTTGATAAAAATATATGCATTTGTGTTTTGAAGATGAACGGAATACTTATGGGTTTGGAATGACATGAAACTATAAATGATGACAGAATTAAAATTTTTGGTTGAACTCTCCCTTAATTTCCAACCTCTGATTGATTCTCCTGCAGTTAGGAAGTTCACCGTGACTTTGTGGAAACTGGTGTCCAACTTGACACAATGGTAGAGTCCCCGATGGTGAGGAAAAACACTTGCTCTTGTGGTTTTATCAAAGGAAACGGACAGTTTATTTCTGGTGTCGTAAGTTTAAAGCATCTGTCTTTTTGACCACGTTCTGACCATTCTGTATTGTTGCCGTTGATGCCGTAAGCTATTTTCTCTTCTGATTTAAACTAACTGACACGTACGGTATATAGGAGCGCCTACAAGAGAATTGGGGTAACTCTTTTATGAATGAGACAACGTTGTGGATTGTAAAATGATGCATTCTCTTTTACCGTTGTGGATTTATTAATGGACTACACTGGTTGGATACTGTTTATTTTCAGTGATGCTCTTCTTCATGTTTTTTTAAAGATCTTACCCATGTCCCCCAATTTTGTACTCGTATACAAGAACTAACAAATCTGATACAGGCAGAGAAAGAGCACATGGGGCTCACATACCGCTTCTTGAGCTAACAGGAAATAAGTGCCTTCCTCAGTGGCACAAAAGTACCGATGATGGACATGCCCATTTAATCTTCACTTGCTGTACATATGTGAAACCAATTTGAACATTCATTACTGAGCCATCCATGTGCAAATAGACTCACTGGGAACCATGTATTGACAATATGTTGTTGTATTTAATTAATCAATTCATGAATTTAACGGCAAGATCGGTATATTCTATCTAGAAGGCAATATTACAGATAATGGAGGGCACGATACAAACTCAAATAAACTACTGATCTCCAGTGGAGAATTGTTCAATGTACTGTGACAGAAAATACTTTTGTCTGAAATTTATCCTGCTCTCAGTGAGAGTGTGACCGTATTGTTGCCAGGGAGAAACTGTTCATATGTTTTATAAACTGTGATGGACATTTGTCATTACTTATGTCAGAGTGTCATAGCAAATAAGAAGTTGTGACTGTGCAAATTTGATCCTAAACGTACCATGCTGATATTATGAGACTTTGATTTGCTTTCCACTGAACAGCCATGGGAGATGTAGCTAGATTTGTTTGGCTTTTGTTTTTGTTTTTTTCATTTGCCTTGTATTTTGTTTGTCTGTTTTGGTTTGCAAAAGATGCATCTCATCCCTGTTGTAATTCTATTTGATGGAATGACACAATAAAGGTCTTGTTTGAAATTTTGAACATGTTCATAAGTTTCCAGAGTGTGACATGTCGTTGTTGCAATGTACAATTACCACTTTGTTCATCACACTTTTCAGGTGTAATCGATCAACATGTCTGAACTTACCTTTACAAACAAGTACTGTAATGACATCAGACTGAATATTGCCAACCACCAGTATTTAAGATTATTTATTGTTTCAGACACCCCTTTCTTTTTGTTTTATTTTTAAGTTACTATTGTTTTAATTGATGTAATACGGAGAGCCCCTAAAGGGACCTTTGCAAAAATAAAAATATACAGTCTTTCACGTGGTCGCGAGAAACGTATCTCGTGAAACACAAAAAACAGACCCTACAGTTTACGAACAATGTCTTACTCTTATATGACCATTAATGACGGGAGTATTTTAAGATGTTTCTGCTGTTATAATGAGACAGAATCATTTGATATTGTGCCGATTTGTGTTGAGGAAGTGATGAAATGTGCGTGTCCTGGAAATGGGACACGTCAGGTGCCGCTTCACTAGCTGTCTCATTGTGGAAAGGTGACGTATAGGCAGATGGCACCTTTTCTCGTTCTCGCTCATCTTGATTTCTTGCATAATATTAATATTAAAAAGCATAATATTGAACTTTGTGCATCCACCATTGTCACCGCATGTTAATGACCTCTCACGCACAAAGAAAATGACATTGTTGGCTACACATAACACAGTAATCAAAGCAATAAGTTTGAAAACATCTGTTGCATTTTACCGCGCATGCAGCATTGGTCAGTCAATCCAGTCCGTCCTCATCCTTTGGCGTCATACATGTGACGCTTTGTACATTTCGTTGAAATCTTATGCACATGGCATCCTTTAGCATCAATATGAGATGCAGAACCCAAGGCGTCATACAGGTGACGCGCGTCTAAATCCAACGCACATGGCATCCTTTAGCGTGAATATGAGACGCAGAACCCAAGGCGTCATAACCGTACCCTACCCCAGACCTAAACCTACCCATAACAGTGCGTGTTATATTGACGCTAAAGGATGCCATGTGCGTAAGATTTCGACGAAATGTCATATGGCGTTACCTATATGACGCCAAAGGATGAGAATGCGTTGGTCAATCATGTAAATGTACCGAATTCGTATCAAACCGTGACCCCAAAACTGAGGTACAAACCGAAACGTGACTTCTGTATATATACTGAAAAATATCTAGTTTATCTGTTTTTTTTTTTTAACCATTGTTATGTCTCCCAGAATGCATTAGTAGTATTTCAGCTTACTGATCTGTGTAGGAAGTACTGTCAGCACATGGAGGTTTACTACAACCAATGTCATTCCCCTCGGTGTTACAATGTTTTTGTGTCCTCTGTCTCAGCATCAAAAAAATTGATCCATAGTTTTAACCAAAATACCATAGTGTTTAGTTTGCTAAGACAAATGTTGCTTTTATTATTGCTCATGCAGTTCAGGGTCTGTAACTCATCCTGCGCTCCAGTGATGTATGTTTATTTGACAGGATCAGTTAGAGAGACATTTCTGTCTCACTCGGTACATTGTGTATGATGATCTTCATGCTCCGTGCCGGCTGAGCCTCTTTGTCCTTTTAAATGTCTCCTTTTGTGTTGGTGACCTGTAATAAATGAGTGTGCGTTTAAAACTGGCAGTTGTGTGAAGTGATTAGGGAGAGAGGGAATTCCAGAGGAGAGAAACAGAGGATGAGAACACAGTATCACCAAAACTGTGGCTCTGTTCCAAACCCTAATGAGCTCCCTATATAGATGGTATGATTTGGCATCACATGCATGCTTCTCAAAATTATCTGATTTATTACCAATCAAATTACCTATTTGTGAAGGGGAATTTCAATGCATTGAGGGTACAGCAATTCTAGAATGCATTACAAGAAGTTTGTGAACTTTTTAATTCAAGATGGCAGATGGAGTCAAGACAATGTTTATTCAGTGCTGAAAACACTAACAAAAAAGTTCACTGTGTTATCATGATTTATTGTACATGTAATAGCATGGTATTTTGGACATACAATGTTACTGCCTGTTGTTTTAGTATTATTTATTTACTTTTTCAGTTTTAATTTTATTTTAGTTTTAACTTTTTGTAAATGTATGTGCCTTAGTCATTTTTATTACTTTTGTGTGTTTTTTTTTAATATTTATATTTAGCTTTATTGTTTTTTATTTCAGTTTAAATGTACATTTAAGTAATTTCAAGTTTTAAAAAAATCATCAAATTTATTTTAGTTTGTATGTTAAATAAAATATTTTTTAATAAAACCCTATTTTAATTCCAAAATGTAATACATAATTGTAACGATCAAGTCCACTGGAAGCAAGTTGAGGTGAGAACCCAAACGCAATTTATTCCAAAAACAAGATAAACACAACAAAAGCATGACAAGGCATGGAAAACTCTAAACTAAAACAGGAACACAAACCAAGACTAGCGAACAAGATACTGGAGCCTGGGCATAGAACAAACAATACTCGACAAAGACACAGGGCAAACATGAGAGTTAAATACATACAGGACTAACGACGAGACAAGGGACACCTGTAAACATTTAAACAATCAACCAATGACAACATGACACAACAGACAAGGGAACACAAGGCAAGATCACATGACTAGAACAGGGGATCACATGACAGACAAGAACAGGAACAAGACACAAAACCCACACCGTGACATAGCCCCCCCCCTATGGGCGGCTCCCGACGCCCCTTAAAACAAAAAAAACACACAAGTTCCGGAGGGTGGTGATGCGGAGGTGGTCTTGGGGGAGGGAAGGAGGGACAAGTCTGTGCAGGGGAATGGGACCAGGGCATTGCAAGGGCGCGCAGACGACCAGGGCGGAGCAGGACGCGCAGGCGACCTGGGCGGGGAAGACACTCGGGCGGCCAAGGCGGTGAAGACCTCTCAGGCGGCCACGGCGGTGAAGACCCCTCGGGCGGCCACGGCGGTGAAGACCACTCGGGCGGCCAAGGCGGTGAAGACCCCTCGGGCGGCCACGGCGGTGAAGACCCCTCGGGCGGCCACGGCGGTGAAGACCACTCGGGCGGCCATGGCGGTGAAGACCTCTCGGGCGGCCACGGCGGTGAAGACCCCTCGGGCGGCCACGGCGGTGACGAACCCTCGGGCGGCCACGGCAACTCG